TATAACAGTAATCAAATCAATCAACCAGTCAGAAGTGAGAGTCCCAAAAAAGAAAAAAAAAAAGCTACTTTTTCCTCTCCCTCTTCATAGTACAAAGACGTCAAAATTCCTACCCAACTTTTGTTTCAATCATCTGTCAAAATTGGCTTGTTGTTGCTTAGTTTGGTGGGAAGGTTTATTCACAATTTGAAGACGTAGGCTGTAAACAGCATACCTTATGAGAGTAGGGGATGATTTCACTGCCCCTCCCCTCCCTCCTCCTCCCACTTTGTCGGGAATGAAGGAAGAAGTTGGTGGCGTTTTCACTTCGTGCTGCCATGTGGATGGTCGAACGTCTCTAACTCCCTTTCCAAATCACAAATCTCATGTCATATGATGATGGTTGGTGGATGTGATTTGGTCGTAGTCGGGATCGGTATCATTTCCATGGCATTTGAAAGAGGAGACGCTGTTGTGGAATGCATTGCTTGCTCCATGTTGGAAGTCTTGGACTCAAGTAGACTTTCAAGTTCTATTGTGAGTGCCAATGAATCCATCCATCAAAACGGCAGACAACAGACCACAGATGTTAAGGCCTCCCCTTTGTCTTTAGTGGTTTTGCAACCCTTTTGTTATCGCCACATCGCCAAGGTGCTACGCGCTTTTGATCCCAGGGGATTCAACTGACTGAAAACACTACTAATCGGTCAGTTATTGAGGGCAGGCCACAATTAAGGGGATTTGACTGAAAGAAGATCGAAATTTGCCTCACCTTATTCCTTTAATGCATCAACAGTCTTATTAACACATGCGAAATGAAGGAGACACTGAGGAAGACAAAGCGAAGGTGGAAGCGCTTCTAATTCAGACAATCAAAATGCCTTCTCCTTAAAGGAGGTGTAAATGTTTTGAGAGTGGGAAAATCTTCCATGATTAATCAATTTTTGTCATAAAAATTGCATGACCTCATTTGATTGGCCTCTCTTATGCCATTGCAAGTTGTATATCCGTAGTGACAACAATGACACCTCTTAACAGGTGTCTTTTGTGTTTCACGATTGTAGTGAAGCCCTCGTAGTGCATGCTAACAATTAACCCAGCTTGCTCATTCTCTAACTCTCAACCCCCACTAATAGCACACCCCAACCAACCTCCACATCAAGTGTGTCACCTGCATCCTCCTCACGCCCTCCTCGGCCTGCTTCCTCGGCTTCGCGCAGTAAGACGCCTCGAGCGCTTGCACAAACTCATCATCAACACTCGCTCCTCAACGAGAACGGCTCTCACACGCCTGAGGTGAGGTTTTCCTCGAAGCGGTCATTATAGCCCCCTCCCCTACCCCATGCCCCGTCTCCTGACCTCAGGTAGCTGACCTCCCTTAGAGCCTGTGTTATCATCCTCCTCCTCCTCCTCCTCCTCCACCTCCTCCTCACCTTCCCACCTAAACAGCGAGAGTTCCATGCGAAGGCACCAAGCTTTACTGGCCGCGAAACAGAATAAAAAGTCGCCCAGCGCATGGAAACGCGACTCCATGGCATCGGGTAGACCCGTATCACCTTCAGTGGACCATCTCTATACTCCGTCTACGCCAGTGGTTATTCCGCAAGAGGATGTGGCAATCGTAGGCAACTACTTAGTCGCCACGTTGCCTCGATCTCGGCATACCTCGTTGTCCAGTGAGAGTATGCGTCAGCCACGATCCACGTCACGGCCAAACGCGCCCTACTTTGAGGAGGTTTGCTATCACTCCTAAATCCTCACCTACGCACTTCCATGTTTATTTCATTTACCAAAGATTTATAAACTTAATTTTTTTAACCCTCGTTTATGTTTATGAAGACCTGTTGAATCCACCTAACCACATCATGCCACAGGGTGCGGACTCAA